ATCTAGTTAACCGGGTTTCTCCTAATCCCTTACCCCAGTTAAGGAAACCGGGTTTCTGATTTATACCACGAAATCAGGTTACAGAAGAAAGGCAACAGCAAGCGGGCTGCTTATGTGTTCGAGAACTCACCTGATGGAAGAAGTGACAGTGTCATTGTGCCATGACCTCATTGTTACTACAGCACGGGGGAAGCTTATGCTGTAGTATCCATTTTAATTCATCTACCTTTAGACCTACTGAACTCTTGGTACTTGCATTTACATGTGGTATTCACAAATACTGTGAATTCTACATGAAAAATACTGGATCTTTAAGTGTAGCTATGACAAAAACTTAAGAGTATGAAAAAAATTTTAAATGAAAATGACATTTCTTTAAGGGTTTTATTACAGTGTGTCGCTGAATGTGTGCATTGATGACTGAAAGACATCTTCTGCCTCCATTTATCTGTTGACTTCAGTGTGTTGAATTCATGTTAATGTGGATTTAAAGACATTTCAATTAGTGGAAAAATTGCAGGGGGAATATAAAAAGAAAGTCTAATCAACCAAAACTTTTGCGACCCCCATACAGCACCTTCGTGGACCCCCTGGGGTAACAGACCCCCTGTTGAAGACCTCTGCTTTAGAGAATAATCCTCAACGGTTTCCAAGGGTCACTAATAGAGTTAATCCACTGGAAAACTTCAAAGAAAATACTCCAAAAAAAATTTTTTTATGCCGTGGAAAGTTGCTAATAGACCAAATAGAACTTTATTGATTTCACAATGGAGAACATGACTCCACATTTAACCCATCCACTGGGGGGGGGGGGGGGGGGGGGGGGGTAATGTGGGGTAAGGGTCTTGCTCAGAGAGCCAGAGTGGGGATTGAACCGAGTATTTGCAACCTTCTCAGAGCACAGGTGCACTGCTCTAACCACTAGGCCAACTCTCCCCCAATAGAAGAAATAGAAGTTTTATTCAATTTTTTACCTTTTGTAACCCTCAGGAAAATCCCCTTTAAGAGACATACTGTGAAATCCTAAAGCTGGACCATAAGGAACCTTTATGGAGCAATCCTGAAAGCTCCCAAGAGTCCCATGGTTGATCTTTGGAGAGCATTATAAGAACAATCCCTAAAGCTTTCTAAAGGGTCACATTGTGGTTACTAATATCTGAGGAATCTTCGGGGAAAGTTATTTGGAAGGTACTCGCACTTGTCCTCTTTATTCGAGGGGGCACCAGTATCAGTAGAGAATCCTAAACTTTCCCCAGACACCTCCTCCAGCTCTGCTGGTGGAAGCCCAAGACGTTCCCAGTCCAGCCCCTCCATTGTGTCCTGGGTCATCTCCAAAACTTTAAGGAAAACCTCCCTTAAAACTGTCAAAGGGTGATACTTATCTTTATTGTGTGTTTAGGGAATCTGTCCAAAGTGACCGATTGTAAATGTGTAACCATATCTTTGAGAATCAGTTTGCAATTTTCCCTGTAAACATCATTTAGTGTAAAGGTTGAAAGTAGCGCTAACAGATCCCTTCAGAGTGTTCCCTGAGGTCAACAAATGGCCACAGATTTCCAAATCCACAACTTCAAACAAGCCTATTCTGAATTTTCTGTGACGATTCTCAAAGGGTCCAGCTGAAAATCTTAACGTCAATAGACAGTAAAGGTTTATGGAATGTTTCTTAGATGTTCCTGAGAAGCCACATCCTGAAATCTAAAACCAAACTTTAGGGAACGTTCCAAAGGTTTAATCGTGAATGTTACAGCTCATCCTTACTTTTCAGCTTCTGATCCAAGAAATTATGCCAAAGTAGGATATAAATCTTTCTACAAAATCTATTGGTAATATTAATTATAATATTACAAATATGATCAACAACCAAAGTAGTGGGATTTTTCCAATGGTTAGTAATTATTTCAGATCTCTAAGCACTTGTCATAAAATTTCCCAAAAGGCATCATGATCTCTGACCTTTTATTTTCTAATCTGTGCTGGAGGCTTACCGTAAATTCAGAGAAAATGTAGAGAAAAGACTCTGAGGGATCAATAAACACCATGTAGAATTGTTAAATCTGACTTTCAGGGCTTGAAAGTTAGAAATGTTCAAATATTCTATATATATATATATATATATATATATATATATATATATATATATATATATATATATATATAATTTTTTTTTTATTATTTTTCATGTAGGTTTTAAAGGCTGGTTGTAAATATAAGAACAGTAAAAGGACTGATTTGTTCTGATAATGCAGAAAGCATTTGTCAGTGGGTTTTTCCACATTACTTGCATACAAGCAGATTCAAGCTGCTTTATTTATGACATGAGCATATCAATTATAAAGTTAATTATTTATCAGTCGTTGACCCATAAGTAGTAGCTCAATTAATCACTCCTAGCATCAATACCTTATAGCGAAAAAGCCATAATGGCTTAGTTTCTGTGTTTCTTGGTCATTGATGGTTTGCTGAATTGCGTGGAAACGCCACACTTTCTCCACAGACGCTTTATAAATGGGTTAATGAGCCTGCCGCCACGTGACCCTCCAGTTATATAATATATAGGTCAGCACGTTTCCCGCTGGCACGTGCAGCCTTCTTTCTTATGTAAAGTCTCGTGCAAAGGTCTCGAATAACACTATGTAGGTGAGCATCATAGATCGTTTATCATAGGAGAGATGTATCACTCCTTTAGTATTTTCCCAATCCGTTGTTCTACAAATTTCCCCGTATTGAATGTTTTCACAAAAAAACACAATAATAACCGACTTTTAATGTGTCTACTTTTATTTGCATCAATTTAGAGTTGTAATGTGTTTATTATTCATGTTTAGTATTTGGTTATTTGCTTTATTTGACCAGGCTTAACATAAAAAGCAAACTGATTAAAAATATTCACATACATTGCGTCATTTTTTTTGTAGATTCAGTGCTACTTCAAGATAATTATTGTAGCTCAAAATATGTTTTATCTGTTATAAATAAAATTCTCTCATCGCTCACATGTAGTCCAAAAAAAGGACCACAGTTGAGTGTGTATATTGTTCAACTCATATATATATATATATATATATATATATATATATATATATATATATATATATATATATATATATATATATATATATATATATATATATATATATATTAGTGCAGTTTTAAACGTGACTTTATATGTTTTTATTAAATAGCAATAAAATCACATATTCATCATCTATCTTATGATTGACTTTTGTAAATTTTAGAGTAGAATGAGGAGCGTTCATTTCTTTGCATAATTAAAAGGTGTCAGAACAAAGAAGGCTCCAGTTCTTTCGCACCTGCAGAGAAAAATCTCTGGTTATTAGAAAAAATAGGACAGAGTGAGACCTCGCTTCAGACATCTTTTTTTTTGAGAGGAAACCGAGGAAGCTCGCGGCAGCGTCAGTTTGGTGACGAGCTCGAGGCTCTGATTGAGGTCACCAAAACGTGAACGGTGGGAGTATGGCAAGCCATTTTATCATAAATTCGGTTGTACTGCCTTTACATTCAAGATATCTCAAATTGTTTTATGACTAGACGTTTTAACAATTTAAGATATCTCTAATTATATTTTGACTAGTCAAAACACGTATTCGAGATATCTCTAATTGCATTCTGACTAGTCGAAATGACGTCAGATTAACAATTAACTTGTATGGAGACTTCAATTTAAGATATGTAGAATGAATCACTGACTATCTGAAATACACATTTCAGATATCTACAATTAAATTACGACTACACAAATTAATTTTGAAGAATTTTGACTTGTCAAAAGGTAATTTAAGATATCTTGAATTATTATTCTTCCTAATCAGAATGTTAATACATATATAATAGATAAATAACAATAATAATAAATAAATAAATAGCTAAAAAAAAAGTAGACCTGTAAATATACAGTCATACGTTTATTATTTAATATGACTATTTTTTTAAATGTATTTATAACTATTTTCAAGGCTGCACTTTAAAAAATGAAATTGTCTAGAACTGTTTTAAACACAATTTATTTTTGTATTCACTTGTGTATATAAAATGACAAAATAATAAATAAATCTTTCTAAGATATCTTAAATTGCCTTTCCGGATAGTCAAAATGTGGTTTTGCCTAGTCCAGGGGCCGAGCTAGATGGGGGGCCAGGGGTGGCCACCCCTACCATTTATTTCCCTCTAATACAGATGGTGGCAACAGTAATACTCTCAAGTGGAATATTCAAAACATTTTACTTTTTTAAATATTAACAATTAAATGACAACAAAAACACACTGTGGTTAATTATACACATCATAGTAGTAAAATTAAAGATAAGTACAGAATTAATGCAGAAATAGATTTTGTGTTTTATGGGGTAGAGAAAAAAATTATGTGTCTCTGCAAGTCGTCTAGGAGTCTTCAGCGAAATCATAGATAAATAACTATTTTAATAAAAACATATTAAATAATCAATTTATGTAGATATTAGTATTTGTAAATATCAATTTTATGCAGAATGATTACTGTTAAAAGTAGGTAAATAATGACAATGGAAAAGATCGGCCAAGATTCGCCCTAAACTCAAACCTGAAAGAGTTTTATCCACTATAGCACGGATGTTTGAATATATTCACCTTTTTTTTTGTTTTTAGCAAAGGCTGTGGGAAAGTATATGTTGTCTTTATTTTGACATAATGGATGTTTTGTTCTTTAATTTTCCTGTTGGACCATAAAGTTTTGGTGGCTATCTGGTTATTCTCTGGCCACCCTTATAAAAACTTTCTGGCTACGCCTCTGGTAATCAAAATGTATTTGAAGATATATGGAATGTAATTACGTATGGTCAGACGAAACCGAATTTATGTTAAAATGACTTGCCATAGTTCTTTCCTTCACTCCGTTGCGGGTGACCCTACACTAGTCGGCATGAATCAAAAATGATTTCACCGGCGCTGACGTGCCTGTTTCCTCTCAGACTATTTAAACCCCAAGGCAGCGAGAATATAGAGGTGTTCCCAGAGATTATAAATAATCCGGCGTTCCCTATAAAAATAATCTTTATGAATGAACCTGGAGCAGAGTGAACTCTATCCTTCATCCTTGCCCTTAGAAAAAGGGTGTTCCTCTCACGCGACACATCACTCACGTTTCTCCCCCCCTCCACACACCGCCTTCTTTGTAAAGAAAAAAATAGCAACGCGAGAAGGAGGAGGGTGAGGGGGGATAAAGAAAAAAAAAATGAAGTCAATTATACAACACCCCGACTATCTGTATCTCCCTCCTTCCCAGCGCCTCCTCTATGCTTTAAACTCCAACAGCTGGTGGCTCCACATGCGCGGCGGCGCTCCGTAGCCTCTCACCGCTTCCAGCCCGCAGGCATGTCGGCCGGGGGCTCCGGCGGCACCCCGGACAACCCGGCAGGTAAGCTCTCACACCCAGACTTTTTATTATTTATACATTCATCCTCTTTTTTTCTGCACTTTTTGCCCTCATACACAACAATTGTCTTATATTTTCCTCAAATGTTGCTTTATATATATTTAAATACACGTTTTAACATTTAATATACATCCCGATAATCTGCATATAATGTATAGATTAAGTTAACCACTTTAAACTAACAGGTTTAGCCATTTTTGTCCTGTTTAATTAGTCGCGCGCCCCAACATCGTTTTATTTAACGTCCCGGAGACGTGCGCGTCTCCGCCAAGCACGCGCGTGGACCGGATTTACTGCTTTTATCTCTATTCCGCTCTGATGAAGCATTTTCCCCACAAAAATCTCCGCCATATTCAATACGCGTTAACCGTCAGAAAATAATCATAAAACAAACAAACTGCCCTGACAGGAGCTTAGCAACCCCGCAGTCACGTGTTTTCACGAGGCGATATTTCCCGTTTAACCGTGCAGGGCTTCCTTAATGAAAAGTGGGTCAGTGGATCAGTAGAGCAGCGATGCCTCGGTTGTCCAGCAGGGGGAGACAGAAGGTGGCGGAGAGCAGCTGGATCAGGATGCTGGAATGTCAGGCACGAAAAGACTTCCTCGCGAAACAGCCAGGGCACGAAGGAATGCTGGAGGAAAATGTGCAGAAAAATATGTGATGTTATAAACTAATAAATAAGTATCATTTTTGATTATATGTAGCAGTGAGCTGAAGTATACTTTGACCATATTTTTTCCCCACATTTAAACAGAGGTGGATATCAACTAGTTTAATTTACTCACTTAAATTTAGTTCAATTAACCCTTTATAGGGCACTCAGTGAAAGACTTTAAATATATAACTTTCAAACAAAGAGCAAATAACTAAAATCTAGGTAAGTCAATTTTTCGTAAAATACGTTTATTTTTTCTTTGATTGAGTAGGTAAGTGAGACACTTTGCCAATGGAACCAGAAAAATTACATTTTTATTGACTTAACTTTTTTTCCAACTTAATTTACAGTAGGTAATAAATCATTCAAAAGCTCATCTAATTGGTCAAATGCTAAGATAACGTACAGCCATTTAGCAGTATCTTTGCTGAATGGCTGGATATAGATCTTGTGCTTCTAGACCTCACTGAGGGACGAGGGGGACTCCATTTGTAAGGGGGATGCAAGTGATCAATAACTGTAATTTGCCCTGTAAAGGGTTAAAAAAAAGAATATAAATACTTCCTGAGTAGTACTTTTTAATTCTACTTGAGGGGAAGTATGATAAAGTATAACTACTGTTACTTGAATAAACTTTCTGGCTGCTTCATCCACTGTTTGAAAGAGTAGAAATAAACAGACCCCAGATTTTGCATATCAGTTAATAATCTGTTCAATTTTAAATCTTTTTGTGAAATATTAAATAAGTTTAGTCTTAATTGAGTAAAAATATGATGAAGTAGTGCTACTCTTTCTTAAGTACAATTTTTGCAATACTTACCAACCCCTGTATTTAATTATTTATACCTTTAAATATATTTCTGAGTAGATGAACAAATTCAAAATACTTCTGTTTATTTCAGACATAAGATTAAAAATGATCATACTATGCAAAGTTCAGCTTTATTATTCAAATCACCATTCTCATATGCTGATGGTTAAAACATGGCATGGCAAAAGTTTTAACTGGAGTTAGTTTGTGCAAGCAGAAATTGAATAATGATGCTGCCGTTGTCACCAATAATAGACTTAATGATGACCTGAAATAAGGCTTGAACAAAACAAATCCTGTCATTTCTTGGTGCGTGTTTGTAAAGACTTTAACCCAGCCTCTCCTCTCCATTGGCTGTCTCAGTTCTCACATGCATTAATAGCTCTTCAAAGTATATCGCAAACATTTTATACATTTTATAGCCTGAAAATAACAGAATACTGTTTAAATGAGTAAGAGACTGTGAAACTTGCTTTCCTTTAAAAAACAAACATGAAAAAAAGCTAAATTTCAGAATAGAACTCTACAGCCATCTCTTTTCTCTAAGATTAACTATATAATGTAATTAATTGGCAAATTTATTCTTCTTAAACCCTACCTATTTAAAAGATTTTTTTCGATAGACCAATATAATCTATTAGGGGTGGAATGGTTCACAAAATCCACGGTTTGGTTCGGTTCACGGTTTCGTGGTCACGGTTTTCGGTTCGGTTCGGTATATGTTGATGGTTAGGAAAATCTATTATGTCTTGTAAAGTACAACGCTAGTTGCACAATGCTTGCACACTGTTGCACTTTTATCCACAACTTTCTTTCTGCCGTCATCGTAGGTCACTCTAAATGCAAAGTGGTCCGATACAGCAGACCTATAAAGTGCTGCTGGCGCGTCATCCAACTCCTGTTCTTTCCCACTCGCCATACCCACACAATTCTCCACAACAACTAATCTTTTTCTGCTACACCCGGCTACGCGGCTTCGATTCTTCTTCTTGTTTACTACTGGTGGTTGGCTTTGGTCGCAGTACCGCCACCTTCTGCTCTGGAGTGTACACGCTTCGCCTATGAGAAAAAGGAGCAGTGCATGAACCGCATGATGTGTTGCGATATGATACACGTATCGATACTGGGTCACGATACGATATTATCACTTTAGTGCGATATTTTTCCTGCTGTCAAAATTTAATGTATAGATAAAAAACAAACCTCTGTATATGTTCATCAGATGATATTGATCGCTTAGTTATTTTGGCATCCATGTTGTTTAGGGCAAGCCTTTTTAACATAAATTCGGTTGTACTGCCTTTACATTCAAGATATCTCAATTTTTTTTATGACTAGACGTTTTAGCGATTTAAGATATCTCTAATTATATTTTTACTAGTCAAAATACCTATTTGGGATATCTCTAATTACATTCTGACCAGTCTAAAATACGTCAGATTTACCATTAACTTGTATGGAGACGTCAATTTAAGATATCTAGAATGAATTACTATCTGAAATACACATTTCAGATATCTACAATTAAATTACGACTAGTCATAAAGTAATTTAAAGATATCTCGATTTTAGTTTCGACTAGTCATAATTCTAAATAAAGATATCTGACTAGTGAAAACTCAATTATAGATATCTTTAAAGCAAATGATGACTAGACAAAACAAATTTAAAGATATCTTGAATTGTAATTTTGACTAGGGCTGCAACTAACGATTATTTTAAAAATCGATGAATCGGCCGTCTATTTTTTCGATTGATCGATGAATCGGACAAAAAATATTTTTTATATTAACCTCTTTATTCCAAAATAAACATTTTAGACAGAACAAACAAGCACACAAGTACAGGTTGCTCATTAACTGTACTGGTGCAATATGAAAAATAAATGTTTGTGTAAAAACTACGCAAACTTACATGACAAATGTAGCTGTACATCCACAAAATATAGGGTACTTTGTTTCATAAAGCGCAAAAAAAGACATTTTTGTTTTTAAAAGCCCTTAAGGGGTTCAAACAATCGGTCCCCCCATTTCAACAAATTAGTTTTTTTAGACTAGAAGAGTTCTGCCTTTTAAGACAGGAAAGTATAGCAGTTAAAGTTTCTACTTGAGAAAATACTGAACCATAGAGATAAAAATAGCCCTGTGATTCAAATTATAAATTGTATTTGGAATAAAAATGAGAGAACTAGGGGTGCTAAAAAACACATCCTCCAAAGACAGATATTTACATGGGAATGTGGCATATAATTAATTGACATATTACTGATCTTGCTGGATTTTATTCTGCTTTACTTCCATAAATTGCAGGATCTTCTTTACTTTATCTTCGCCAGAAGATTTAAACTTTAAAAGCCTTGCCCTCATAATTTGCAAGTTAATTTATTTATAAAGAAAACATAAACGCTGCTTAAGCTAATTCTAATTAAATTAAAAGTAAAATAAGTAGCCAACCTTATCACTGTCTGTAACCTACTAACACGGTAAGGAAAGCATCAGATGAGCTAGCTGAGAAACTAACGTTAGGTTTCCCCACTTTAAAACCAAACAAACATGGTGGTTCCGTGCCATGTTAATTTGTTTTTACAAAAGTTGCATGTTACGACTTTTTTCACTGTACAAAGCGCAGGCTATTTTAATTATTGTGATCAATTTGCGCCGTCAATCCCGGCGCATGCGCGCTTCATTTGCAGTCTGGACGCTGAGGGTAAACATCTGACTGCAGCGCTGAGAGGGACTCCTGCGGGAGCGGGGGGAGGCGCCCCACGGCAGAGTAGGAACGATACATGCTTTCACGTAAGAGTCTCCAAAAGCCGCCAGTGACACCGTAAAAAGTCGCCAGATTTGTGGCTAGTCGCTTTTTTGAAAAATAATTTGAGATATCTTGAAAGGAATTTTGACTAGTCTAAATGTAATTTAAGATATCTTGAATTATTATTCTTCGTAATCAGAATGTAAATAAAGATATCTTAAATTACCATTCCGGATACTCAAAATGGGGTTTTGTATTTTAAGATATCTGGAATGTAATTATGGATGGTCAAACGAAACCGAATTTATGTTAAAACGGCTTGCCATAAGGCTTCATCTTCCACTGTGACTGCCTCAGCTTCAGATATGGCGCTGCAGCGACAGCAAAGGGCTCCACAGCATTATCTGCCAGAGTGGCGGTACAAAGGGAGCCCATTTTCACTCAGTTTTAGGTAAAAATGTTTTGCTTTAAAAATATCGATACTAGGAACTAAAAAATCGATATTATATCAGGCAGCCAAAAATCAAGATATATTGCCAAAACAATTTTTTTCACACCCCTATATAACAGCTAAATTACACTTTTATTACACTTGTATTTTTGATGTTGAGTCTTTAACTTCTCCATTTTGATTATTCAAGAAAAAAGTAAATAATAAATTAAATGTCCAGGAATGACTTATATTAAGGTAATTTTTTTTCTGAAAAACTGTTAACCATTTTTCCATCTGTTTTTTTTTTCTCAATACTTCTACTTTTATGCTG